GAATTAAAATTGGCCCTCCAACTGCGCTCTGCACGGACCGGCTATAGAATCCTCGCCCCTGCCATAGAGATCTTGACAATCCATTAGCGAACACTTCACTCATATTTATCGGTTCCCTGTTTGTATCTGTCGACCTTATTTATATTAGTGTTATTGTTAATGTTAATTTTCTTGTATTAGGGTACTAACATATTACATCATCGAAAAGAGAAAAAAAATCTCTATAAAATGAGCCTAATGAAAAGGTGTACAGGTGGCAATTTCTTTAGATCAATTTCGAGCATTCTGCAGGCTACTCCTAATTACGCTTTCCTGCAGTTTTCCTAATCCGTAAGCTAAATACCGGAATATAGACCGGAATAGTATAAAACCTTCTGCAGGGGCACCCCTAAACACATTATGCGGGTCACTCTGTAATTGGGCGCGAGCCTGTTGAGGGCCCAGAAAAAGAAGAACAATAAATAAATAAATAAACTAAGATCCAAATTTGGAAATGTTCACAAAGCTATGTTTTGAGCTCAAAAAAGCTGAACATATGTTATTGGCGTAATTACTTGCTGCCAACACAACGAAGAGTATATTTGGTACAGTGACGTGGCCAAGATCACTGGAGCGCAATAGTAGCTTCAGATGGAAAAATCCGAAAAAGAGCACACGAGATATCCAGGTGCTTAAAGAAGATGGTCGTACTTACGTATGCATCCACTTATATTCAAATTATAGGCTCCAGCATGAGAGAAAAGTGGGTCTTCATCACACTAAATTCAGTTAATCGCCAGAAATTGCAATTAAACCGACATTGAATTTTAAAAAAATGCATACAACGACTGTTAAACTTTACCAATATTTTTAAGTGAAGTCTCAAGGAAAAGAAAACGACGAAATTCGGACGAAACCATTGTCTCGAGTATTTGATACAATATTGTTTGATTTTAATGGTTTGCAACTGAGCGGCTAAAAAAAATATCAAATTAGGAAACATGAAATTATTTGGCACAGCTATACCTGCTCCTTGAGGGACCGACCTCTAGTTCTATCAAAGGAAACATTAACAAGATTTCTACTGTCCTTGTACGATTGCATAGAAAGAAAAGCGGAAAAAATGATATCGCATTTTCTATTTCGAAAAATGCGTCTCGTCCCAAAGTAGGCTTGTCTTTATATGCCCGTAATACGTTATGTACGTTTATAACTGGCTTAAAACAATATTTGTATACGAAAAAGGCCATCAAAAGAAAGCGAATAAGATCTAAACTAAAAGACATTTGTATATTCCTCCCCTAAAAAAACGTACAAAATTAAAATGCATGTCCTGTCTCGAGTCCATATTTTACATAATCTCAAGAATGAAGCTTATGTGATCTAAAATGATTTAATGTTGGAGTTACCTATACCTACCTGAAACTTACACTATAAATTAGTCATCTTTAATAAGCAGACTTACGGTACCTCAAGTTTCAATGAAAATGTCGAACAAATATTTAGCAACTACCGAAGTCTCGATCAAAGATATAGGTAGGTAGCATGTTCCAAAGCAATTTGGAGGAGATTAAATCGTTCAACAATTGCATTCCTCGGGGAAATACAATGTCATATAGAATGACGTTCAATTTCGCTTCACCTTACGACTTTCTTTTTGTTAAACTACAGTGTATTTTACATTTTTCCAAGGAATGAGAAATTGGTTTGTTCTCACCAGTGAATTTTGCATTGCATCTTGCGTCAATACATAATGCATGGCTGTAGAATAATTTGTTTTTCAATAAACGTAAGGTCGGTATTTGTACGTGCCCTTCTCATAAACATAGAATAATTACAAAAGCAAATTGGGCCTTTCATTTGAACCCGTGCATGATATACCTAATGTTTAAACAATGTCTATTTTCGATTTTTAACTAGGAAATTTGCAAGCAACTGGTGTTAATTATGCTTCCGTCGACGTGATAAGCTGTTCAAAAATTAATCCCCCACTATGAAAGGCGGAGAAATTGCATACGCAAACATGTTCATTTTCTTTCATAAGGCCGAAAACCCCACAGGAGACGTTAAATGCATGATAATCATTCCTCGTTTCGTTAAAATTTCATAACACTGCAAAAAGTTAAGTAATTTGTTACGGCGTTATAATATATTATTCCCATAAAAATGTGAAAGAACTTCCTCCTTTATGAGTGTTTTAGCCATACCCATAATGTCAAGCGTATGGGTAAAACATGATGGGTATTACCTCGAGGAATTAAAGCGGAAAATATGCATCTTGCTGAAACACCAATTTTCTAGAAAATGTGTTCGCGTTATTACGTTCTTTTCTTTCACGTATAATCTATGGGAAAAGGTTTTTAATTAAACGTTGCAGAATATAATTATCCCTAACAAAGAGTTGGAATTTTACCTATGCCATTTTACTTACACTCTATAATCAAAAGATACCGCAATTACAATTCCCCATTTGATTATGCGGTGTTTTAGGAGGAAAATTAATTAAATTAGTCCGTGATTACTTTCGCATCCGGTGGTGGTACCACGAGCACGCTTAAGATCATAAGATGCAAGTGCAGCACGAACAGTGACTATGCTACTTATTATTAACCAAGCGAAGCGTGCAGCATTCCTGCTCAATTTAATTTACGAAGGATTCTACTTGTGGTAAAATCCCTTCATTTTACGCAATGTATGCTAGATAGAGGCAATAATTATCTAAATTTCTACCTTCGATTCTCTGTTTGCTCAATCCCTCTGGAGCTCGAAAGTCCCATCTTACACCCTGTAATTTTTTAAGTGAACTTGAAATATCGCTTTTAAATCCCTCTCAGTGCGGGAGATGATAACAAAATGTTACGTGATCGGCTTGAGTGCCAGAAATGGCCCAGTACAAGTTCATTTTCCCTATTTGTGTGCATGGGGACGGAGGCGAGTGGCCATATTATAGCGCAAATATTCACTGTTTTAATGACAAATGCAATTGTCTGGAGTTGTGGAGTCCCCCACTCCCCAAGACCCTTATTGCCTACACACAAAAAACTACGATATGCGAGCACGTAACCAATGGTGGGCCTACGTGGGCACCTTTCCTTTCTGCGCATTTTACAACAAAATTGGGTGCGCTTTGGCAGTCTGTCTGGCTGTCCGTCCGTCCGAGACCCAAACTACTCCTCCAGTTTTTAATATATTTAAGTCATTCTATTTGTATTGAGTAGCTTAATTTATAGCTCTGGATCTGAGACAAGAGAAATCTTTACGATTAATATACGCAGAGTGCCCGATGTCAACGTTCTTATTTACTGAAATATTTTTTCAAATTTTAACCACAGATACTTCTAGTAACGGCAAACATATCGCATACTGAGTAAATATCAGATGTGCGCGTGCGCAGGCTACGCAATACCGATTTTTTATTTATGGAGGCATTTCTTTGAAAAAATGCAGAAGCAGAAAAAGAGCTAACTTACGGCACGCAAAATGGCAAAAGATACCCACAAAATCTAGCATTAGCTTTTAAAGAAATCCAGAGCTTGGGCAAGTAGAGTTGGAAATTTCCCGCTCCTCGCTGTATTTATGACTCAAATTAATTCGGTTTTTAATTAATTGCTCGGCCAGCAACTATCGGAAAAATATTAGATGGACATCGGACTTCCCATTTTTTAAGCGCGCTTAGTTTGAGATAACTTTGAACTCCGTCTGCCCGTTTTTTCTACAACTCATCAAAACGTCATACCCAATTAATCGCATTCAAACTTCAATACTCATTAATCCCTAGACCTGACTGTAATTTCCCGGCGCAACAACTGTTGTCATTATTTACACTCCGGTATGTCTTCAAAACTGATAACGTGTAAATAACTCGATTTGGAACTCGTTTCTATCCTGGTTTTCGCTTATTATGGGAATCTAAAATGATTAATAATTTATTAACGGCGCTTTAATTATATAATTAAATTATTAATTGACTCGCTTCTTCCCTGGCAAGAGAGCATTCGGCGGTTACAAAAAAAAACATCCAAAAATTCCTACCTGAACGGTTTGAATCCTGATAAATTCATTACAAAACTTACGTGCTTAGCGGTGGTATAATAAACAATTACTCAAAAATGCAAACACAAATATCACACTACTCGAGCTAATAATTAACTTCAGAAACCCCTTACTATCGAATCACCAAACTTACAACGCTTCTCGATACCGGGTGTTAAGCAAAGCTTTTTTGAAAGTTTATAATAATGTACATACCAAAAATAAATAAATTACCTCTAGTAACAGTTTAAAATAACATAAAAAGTAAACTTATTTTCATTTACCTAGAGGCCCTTTGGATACATTCAACACTTGTGGAGCGGAATGTTAGCAATGATTCCTCATAAGGGCATTGTCAGAAGGTAACAAGTTACAAGAGCATGAGAGCGGTGGGAGTAGTATAAATAGTCGCGTAATTACAAAAAAAACAATGATGCGGAGCGAGAGTCCACTGTACGTTAACAGTGTAGGCTAAAATGAGGACAAAACTTGTGACTAAAAGAACGCTTTAGAAATTTTTGAAAAATCTTTGGAAATAACTGAGCTTCCACCAAGAAACTGAAAACGTCAAACTTTGTTTTCATTTTCCCAATATACCTATTTGATACATTTTGATCTGTACTACTACAGACCATCAACGGTACTATACCAACGTAAACGATTCACCCTTGAATCTAGTTTGGTTTAATGAAGAGGATACAGTGTTTTTGTTTTCAAACACTCGCAAAATTCAAAAAGGTTTATGGAATATTTAAAAAAACAAAAAACATAAACAATTGGTAATTTTACACGTAATATTACGCACTTTAAAAAAAACGTGTAATTTAACATCACTAGCCCCAAATCAATGAATATACAGGGCCGAATTCTGAAAATTAATCAAGAGTAAACCGTCTTTATTTTAGCAGATATAACAAAAATGTATTTAAACTAGAGGGACTCTAACCACAGGAACCACAGGCACTGCGCAGAGCTCTTCTGTCACGTGACGTGAAATTTTAGGTTAAGTTGTAATTGAATTTCGAAGGAAAATTTAGTCATAAAAGTCCAAAAAATGGAAAAGATCTGTAAAACTAGTGTGGAAAGATAAAGTCTTAATATCAGTAGCTACAGTTACCTACTTGCCATGTTTGATTGTGTATAAGTACTCGTTATGAGGTTCCCATTGTGCCTTTTAGATTATTTGGACTCCCAAAGTATATGATTACATAAGGGATTTATTCATGATAGTGTCACTGATATGATCCATTCACTTTGTGATCGAAAAGGTACCTATCTACAATGTGTATATGTATGTCTCTCTTTAAAATTGGCGCACTTCGCGATACAAACTATCTTTCAGTTAAAATTATTCTATTTCAGATCATGGCTCCATTCAATATTACAAACCTTAACTCGGACAACATTCACGTCTTAGATGGAGGATTTGCCACTCAACTTGGATGTCACATTGTGGATCACATCGATGGTGATCCACTTTGGAGCGCAAGATTTTTAAAAACGCAGCCGCAGGCAGTAATTGACACACATCTAGATTTTCTTAGAGGTGCATTTATCATACATGTGTCTTGGGAATGTCTAAAACGTCTAATTTTAGCCGGTGCCGACGTGATTATGACCAACACCTACCAAGCTAGCATCCCCGGGTTTCAGAAGTATCTAAATTTGTCAGCAGAAGAAGGATACGATCTAATCAAGGAAGCGGTCAACTATGCCAAAATTGCGTGTGATAGGTTTCAAGAGGAGTTTTCCGATAACTGTAATACAATTTTCAGATTGAACGAAGTAAGCATAACAATTTTCAGCAAGACTGCCACTCATTGTGGGATCTGTGGGACCATACGGGGCATCCTTGCATGACGGCTCCGAATATACGGGGGCCTATGGTGCTACAACTCCAATAGAAGTGATGAGAGAATGGCATAGACCAAGAATTCAAGCGTTGGTGGATGCTGGCATTCGCATGCTTGGTATTGAAACAATTCCGTGTTGTGTCGAGGCTGAAATGCTCGTGGAATTAATTAAGGAGTATCCAGATGTTAAAGCTTGGGTCGCCTTTAGTTGTAACGTGAGTATATCAGTCATTAATACCTTAATCCGTCTTCTAACTGTAGCATGATGGAAAATGTCTAGTAAATGGAGATAATTTCCAGAAGGCTGCAAGAAAATGTTACGACCTTAACCCCGAACAAATTGTAGCTGTGGGAGTCAACTGCTTGGCACCCAAATTAGTCGAATCACTCTTTAAAGACTTTAACGTAAATCGTCCCAAAAATCCAGTGCCATTAATTGTTTATCCAAACAGCGGCGAAACTTACAGTGTCGATTTAGGGTAAGTTAATGTAGATGGCACAAATTCAAACTAATTTAAATAGAGATAGGTGGATAAATCGTGATAAATGCGAATCATTAGTGTCGTATATCCCGAAATGGCTGGATTTGGGTGCGACGTGGGTAGGTGGCTGCTGCCGCACGTATGCGTCTGACATTACTAGGATAAAGAGCGAAGTTATGAAGTGGCAACATGCCCAAGAGCAAAACCGAATAACAGAAAATGGATCACACAAAAATAACACTAACCACCTATGATAAATCTTTTAATTTTACCTGTTATGTACTTTGCATCAAATTTTATAAATAAAAATCTATTGTGTAATTTGTCTACTCTACGAGGAAGATGGCATTCCCGCTGTAGGTGCGCTGCTTGGGCCTGTCGCGATACCATTAGTAATGGCTTGTTGATTACGTGATGTTCTGCCCTGTAAATGTTTCACTTTAAGCCTGTCTAATTCGTTTACTCGGGATCTGGCATGCTCCAATCTATGCCATGCCATTTGTAAAACTTTCTGGGAAGCGTAGCCAGAGCCTTCGTGTGGTTGACCCGTAGACACTTGGGTCAAATAGTTAATCTGATCAGTAAGTTTAGTCTCTACAACGCCTAATGTTTTAAGAAACGTCTGTGTATGGTTTTCGGCCTGTTTTAAACTGGACTTTTCTTTACTAAGTTCCACAAATGCTTGCCCTATAAATGAAAAAATTAACAGCAAGTTCCACTTATTCAGTAATTACCTGCAGTATGAAGACATGTTATTATATCTTTCTCAATCGAGTCTAATACTTGTATTCGTTCCATAGGAGCAGTCATGGTTAATAGCACTTCAACTTCAACATATATTTTAGTTAATTAGTACAGAAAGTTCCAATAACTGCTATTGTTAATAGCTACACGTGAGAAATAAATCGCGTAATTACGTTTGAAAATAACCATTAGATGTTTTCTTTATGGAAAATATAAAAATAATAAATCTTACGACATAACCTCAAAATGAAAGTTTGGTGAATAAACTGACAACCATGGATAATTTCCTACAAATAATGCGCCGTTTACACCAAGTTCAAATATACAGTAAGATCTGTTTATTCATTTAGTAACGACGATCGTGGATAAAAACTGTAGTAATATACAAACACCTTATTTATGGTCTCATTCGGATCTAGTTTGTTGTCTGGGTTTGTTGTATTATATAATTTCATATTGTATAAGCAAGTTGTAGCGTATTTCAGTTCAGTTAGTCAGTTCTAACTTCGATCCGCTTGAGTTACCTTATAAAAAGTGATAAATAATTATTACTGTGATAAATTAATTCATTTTAAGACTGTTATAAATTTATTGTTAATTAGTTGAATAAATAAAGCGTTTAATTAAATTTACGTTATAATATATGCTATATGTATTACTGCAATTTTGCAATCATTATTTCTTAATAATTAAAATAACTGTATCTGTATTTTGAAGTAATACCTACATTTACCTACATCTCATAGAAGTGTAGGCATTTCCTATTGAATATAAAGTGATTCGGAAAAAAAACAAAGCATTAAGAATACAAAGAATTCATTTTATATGTAATTTTTATATGTAATTTTGGGTCCTTTGTAGGTTCCACTGATACGGTACAATGAATTGTCCTTGAATCCATAACAATTCTAAGAACCTGGAAAAACCATAAACAGTTGGAAGCATTCGAAATGGGGTAATCTGCAAAAACGGAAGAAGAGTCATGAATATCGCAAATATGTGGTCATTGAATAAAAAAATAAAGAATTCATAATGATATGGTTGAGTTTTGAGGTACCTGCCTAATATTAACAATTAACAAACATTTCTTCCGGTTGCTCCACCACCAGATTCTTTATTTCAAACTGTTCACATTCTTCCCTTTCTTTAAATTCTTTGCACTTCCGAGTTCTTTTACTCATATTTTGTTATGACATGATGGTTCATGACCGTATTAAAAGTGTAACCAAATTTGTTAGGAGAAGCCTTGATCATAATATACAGTATATTTACGCATTAAACAGTTTATTTATAAAGTATAAATCGATCTATTTCAATTACCTACACAAAATTGGTAGATACTTGATAATGATACAAAATAAGTACCTGATACAAAGGTGTAGTATTATATCTTTGCCTGATATCATGCGGCAAATATCCCTGACGCTAGATGGCGTCCCCAGTATTGCTGTTAGTTGAATAGATGGCGGCGTTAGCTAACATTCACGATTTTCGAATAATGAAGTCAGCTTTGCGCAGTGGCGATATTGTAACCAATGAAGGAATACTGAGGTGCAATTATTGCTAGTTGAAAACTTTATACCAATACCCCGCCAAGTGGACGTGAAATACCGTCCGCTAAGGCAATTTTTGACAACCTCTACGGGGGTTATTTTTTAAATAAGCATAATGACTGCGGATTCTTTTAAGACAATGTCACATTATCATACAGTGTGTGTGTTTGTATGTAAACTGGACTAATGATGATCATTTTTGATCGCATTTTTCTGACTTTTTAAACTCTCAAGGTTTCTCGAGCCCTTCGTGTACTGTATATTGTTCAGAAGGTTTTAGACACTTTCCAGAGCGTCATTATTTGCTTATGGGGAGGTTTCAATAGGCGATTTGGAAATGATCCGGGTAAGTTCCGTAAAACCCTCTAAGTGTGGTGTCACACTATGCGTTTTTACCGCTCCCGCTAAAACGCTCCCGTTTGACGGGATGGTAATATCACACGTTATTAAATGATACCAGTCACATATATGCGTTTTCGCCGCACCAACCGGATGCAACCGCATCCTGCTGCCGCTGCGTAGAATAACATGACAACCACAATGACATGAAACCATGTGTTGTTACACGTTGGTTGTCATCAGTTGTCCCACTGAGCGTTGCAACCGGGTGTTTTGTTAGGTTTACAATGTTTGATGTCGGTTTATTCATCGAATGCGTGCATGCAAAAACTGCACTGTGGGAAAAACAATCTAAAGAGTATGTAGATAAAAACTGAAGGGAGAAATCATGGGTAGAAATTGAATTTTTGGACATTCGGTAATATACAAAAAAAATTTTCTTGTTCATTCGAATTTTTTCATAAAACTTCGCGAATCTAATTAGATTCTCGTCCTGAATTAAAAGGATCAATCTAATATTGACGATATATCTGCTTTCGCAATAGCCCCTCCGCCTTAAGCGCATAAACCATCTTTAACAATAATTGAGACATGACACTACTTAGACTGCCAAAATATAGCAAAAACGCATCCCGTTAAACCGGAATAGTGTGACAAGTAGATCTCATCCGGTCAAACCGCATCCGTTTTAGCGGGAGCGGTAAAAACGCATAGTGTGACACCACACTTACGTAAATAGGTCTTAGGTCCTTAGGTAGGTAATAAGCTTAGCGAAAGTTAAATCGCCATGCTGATAGAATTGCGATAATCGCGTAAAATTTACGGCAAAGTATAATTTAACCACATTCAATATATACGCGTATAAATTTGAAATCGCAAAAGTAATACCAATTTTTAAACAATTTTCCGCTAGATTATTTAATATAAGCCTATTAAATATAAACGGGCGGGTATTAATGATCATTTGGAGCGTGTTTTGGGGGCAGTGAGTATAAAACGATCGGGCAAAAGCGAGCGAAGGGATTCAACCATGAAATTGAATTATACAAGAACCCTCCACACTCTCTATACGGAGATTTTCAAGGGTCCGATTTTGCTGGATGTACAACATAAATAACAAAAATGGTTCGTTACTTTTTGTAACGTGCAAAAACTTCAATTAAGAATTCATTTTCGTTTTGTCTCTCTTATTAGGCACGCGCGCACGAGAGGTGTAATGTCAAAATTTGGAAACTAAGGACGTAAATAATTTTCGAAATTTATTTACATATCTCCTTGACATTTTCAAGTGCAACTTTGGCATTTACATTTAAATGGCGATCAATGAAAAGCAATTTAAACTTGTCAACTGTCTGACTGAATCCTTTGTTATTTCATTCTGGATCAATTTAATCGCTTAGGGTTTTAAAGTGTAGGGCATTAAACACATGCTGACTTCACATACGAAACTACTTTTCTTATCAGCACAGACATACATTTCCTCATCAAACGACGCGTTTTTCCGCACCGAACATAAAAATGGAGTATAATTGGGCGAGTAATTTGTCTTTTCAAAAGCTTTGAAAGCAACTCAATCATTAAAAATAAACGAGTTGGTAATGTCTCTAAATTTTGCGTTTGATATATTTATGATTTTACACCTCTCTCGTTCGACAGGATTACGATTTCCGTTGCCAAGATACGTATATGTTTTAATCTTTCGCGTATTCTCTTCTACCGCATAAAGTAGCACTTTATATTCAGCACATAAAACATTGCCGCTGAGAAATTGATGAGATATTAACCACTTTGTATTCTTTTCTTAATAGGCGCCCAAATTATTTACTGGGTTTTGAATTTAAATTGCGCGCTGGCGCTGTACTTTCGTTAGCTGATGTCACATTGTCACTTTTCTGACTTAGCTGTCATAATTTTTAGCCTAATCATATTCAATTTCAAGTATAATATCTTCATGAAGTTTTAGCTTTATGTAACATTCAGTTGTACTTAGGCAACCATCTTGTCAGTTAATTTCGGGAGTCGCAACCAGTTCTTTGGAGGGCATCAGTACTATTCAACAAAACGCAAAAGTGGTATACTAATGCTTTGTGATTTCTGCCAATAAAAAAACGTTGATGTAGCCAATTGATCGAGATATAAGAAAAATAGATGATCACAAAACTCAAAGGGCAGGTGGTACCTCTTATCATGGGTGGTATCTACAGCCAAATTCATGCTACCGTATACCCACTTATCATGCCCTACGATCTTATTTGTTTTGCTGGTGCTACATAATTTTATATTATGAATTGGAGATTTTTTTAATTGTGTCTTTATTTTTGAGTGGGCGGGGTTTCAGCCACAGCTGCTCTACCAACCCAACCCACTACCTACACATTTACAAATATCCATGCCCGAACCCGGATTCGAACCAGGGCCCCTTGGCACCACAGTTCAGCTTTAACTGAACTGCGCCACACGAGCCGGCTAACCTTTGTGCTCTAATACAGTAACGTAATCACCCAAAGGAGTACAGCAAAACTTACGTTATAGCGCGAACTGATATGTGCTATCCTGTCCATTAATTGTAACAGTTCGTGTATCAAAATGCGGTTTTCGGCACAGTGTTCACAATAATACGAAGAAAAATGTACAATATTGTACACCATTTTTGGAAAATTGCGTACAGGGCTCAAAAATGTATTTATTATTGCATCATTACAAACTTCTTGGTTTCGTTTTCAGAAATACACTCAATTTCACGAATATACAGACAATGCAAACCTTATATAATGCGTTTATTAGATCCAAGCTTGAGTGTGCTGCATGTATCTGGTCTCCTCAAACTCTCAAATACTCAGACATGATCGAAAAAGTGCAGAAAAAGTTCATCCGAGTAATGTTTTTTAGGTCAACCCAAAATTATCCACATTTGATCTCTTACGGTACCCAGCTTAATTACTTAAATAGTACTTTCGGCTTAGATATAACGAGGTTAGAAACCCGACGGTAGATTGCCTCCACAATTTTTGTCTTCAAAATTTTACACAATTTGTTAAACTCTTCCGAATTACTTCAAGAAATTAAGCTTAAGGCTGGTTGTTAAGCTAAGGCAAAATAATACTATTTTTGCAGTTAGCAACACAACTTCTCCACTTATTAAGATCTTGATCACTTTAAATAAGTTGTCCTCAGTGAGTGATATAGACCTTTTTCACGATCCCCTAAATGCAATAATAAATCAAATTAGATCTTAAGTCCTAATGTTTGTACAGAGCCCCAGTGCCATGTAAATGGAATTTTTATTCTGTATGGTTTCTGGTTAAACAAATAAATAAAATGATTATAGAAAATTATAAACATATATAAAATGACTAAAAAATCATTATACGAG